GATGCGTATATATGCGGTGCAATTATAGTGTAGCGAGCCAACGTCCGTGAACAAAACAGCTTCACAAAATGCCGTACAGGCTACACGGACAACGTTGGACAAGCACTGCACACTTCAGTGCGCGTCAAATTGCGTGGTTCGGTGTACATTAAATTGCGCGTTGAATTGCATGTTTAATTGCACGTCGAGTTGTGTGGTGGGTTGCGCGTTAAAATGCGCGAGTCGGCGCATGTCAAATTGCGCAGTGCGGTGCAGCCAATGTTTTGCGATTTGCGCGTTAAATCGCGGTGCGGTGCGGTGCAGTGCGGTGCGGTGCGCGGTCCCGAATGAAAAAACAACAACAACTCATGCACCGGGATCGAGCCGGCGACCGCGGTTCCCAATAATTAGTGTCGGAGCTAGCGCACACCAAAGCGGTGAGCGTCGATGCTCCGGGGCGCATTGCGCGGGTCCAGGTGTGGTGCGGTGCAATGCACTGGCACACGCAGTGTGGCGCGGTGCGGTGCAACGCGGTGCAGTGCGGTGCGGCGCGGACACCGAAGCGGTGCACGGCGTTGCTCGGGGGTGCATTGCGCGGGCCCAGGCGTGGAGCGGTGCAGTCCGGGACGACGCGGTGCGGTGCACGGTCCAGTCCAGAACGAAAAGAAAAGAACAATAAACGACGACGACGCGAAAAACGAACCACGCGACGACGAAGGCAGCGCTCCCGAACGAAAAATAGAAGAAAAAAACGTGCGGGCGCCGGGCGACGAAGCCAGCGAGCCGCAACGGAAACGTAAAAAAAGATACTATGACGCGCCGGCGCCGGGGTCGAACCGGCGACCGCGGCTCCCACTAGACATCGGAGCTAGCGTGCCCGACGAAGCGGCGCACGGCCTTGCACCGGGGCGCCTTCCGCGGCGGCAGGTGTGGTGCGGTGCGGCGCGGGGCCGAACCGAACGAAGGAAGAAGACGAAAAAAGCGGCGACGGCGGGGCGCGAACCGGCGACCGCGGCTCCCACGCGGCGACGGAGCTAGCCTAAAAGGCGCGGCTCCGAAACCGCGGACAAAAAGGCGAAAAACGGCAACTTACCAAACGTCAACCCGGATGGACGGACGGACACGCGGACGCCCCCCGCAGCCTAAGGTCTCCGTCCCGACGACGGAACTAGAGCGCGCTGTTCGCGCGAGTGGGCCGTAGCTCCGTAGCATAGTGTAGCACAGTGTACCATAGCGTAGCATAGCGTAGCATAGCGTAGCATGCCGTAGCATAGCATAGCGTAGCATAGCGTAGCATAGCATAGCGTAGCATAGCGTAGCATAGCGTAGCATAGCGTAGCAGAGCGTAGCATAGCGTAGCATAGCATAGCTATGATCGCATATGCTTGCATATCGCATAGCGTAGCATAGCATATCGCATAGCGTAGCATATCGCATAGCGTAGCATAGCATAGCGTAGCATAGCATAGCTATGATCGCATATGCTTGCATATCGCATATGCTTGCAGATCGCATATGCTTGCACATCGAATGTGGCATATGCACGTGCAGCCGCATGCTGTGCTGTGTTCCGCTGCTGCTGGAGCGCCCTCACCTCCGGATCAGCACGTGCAGCGGCATGCTGTGCAGCATCACGCAACTGCTGCTGCACCCTCACATCCGGGTCAGCCCGTGCAGCAGCATGCTGTGCTGTGTCATGCAGCCGCTGCTGTGCCCTCACCTCCGGGTCAGCACGTGCAGCTGCGTGCCGTGCAGCGTCCTGCTGCCGCTGCAACAACCGTAGTTCAGGAAGGGCTGCCGCACGCTGCGCAGCTTTCTGCCGCCGCCATCTCTCCCGTACTTCTGCAGCAGAAGCATCAGCACCCTGGTGCTGCCCCTCCAGCTGTGTATCTGCAGCAGCTGCCTCTGCGGGCCCCGCTGAATTTATTTGCATGGCTGTCTGCTGTGCTGCGGCATGCTGCTGCTGCTCAGCTGCACGGCCCGTACTCAAATCAGCGAACGGACGGATTCTTCCACTACGGAAGCCGTCCGCAAGCGAGCCCAGCCGGAGCCGTTTCGAAGCAGGCGACTGATCCGACATGAAGGCGGACCCGGCGAAGCGAGCACGTATACTAATTCAGCCGTTAAGGATACGAGGTTGTGAACGGCGAAGAACGCGAAAAAAGCAAAAAGAAAGAGCAAAAATTCCGGCACAGTGACAAGGGGAATTGCGAGAATCGTCAAAGCTTACAAGCGAAGAACGGCGCTGTATGAAGCGCGTACGGCATTATTTCCGACGTAGAATTGAAGCGCGCGAAAGAGGCGGAAAGAAAGAGCAAAAAGCTTGAAAGTATTTCGGCACAGTGGCAAGGGGAATTGAGAGCATCGTCAAAGCTTACAAGCGAAGAACGGCGCTGTATGAAGCGCGTACGGCATTCATTCCGTCGTGAACGGCGAAGCGCGCGAAAAAAGCGAAAAGAAAGAGCAAAAAGCTTGAAAACATTTCGGCACAGTGACAAGGGGAATTGCGAGGATCGTCAATACTTACAAGCGAAGAACGGCGCTGTATGAAGCGCGTACGGCATCAATTCCGACGCGGAATTGAAGCGCGCGAAAGAAGCGAAAAGAAAGAGCAAAAAGCTCGAAAGTATTTCGGCACAGTGGCAAGGTGAATTGAGAGCATCGTCAAAGCGTACAAGCGAAGAACGGCGCTGTATGAAGCGCGTACGGCATTCATTCCGTCGTGAACGGCGAAGAACGCGAAAAAAGCAAAAAGAAAGAGCAAAAAACTTGAAAACATTCCAGCACAGTGACAAGGGGAATTGCGAGGATCGTCAATACTTACAAGCGAAGAACGGCGCTGTATGAAGCGCGTACGGCATCAATTCCGACGCGGAATTGAAGCGCGCGAAAGAAGCGAAAAGAAAGAGCAAAAAGCTCGAAAGTATTTCGGCACAGTGGCAAGGTGAATTGCGAGCATCGTCAAAGCTTACAAGCGAAGAACGGCGCTGTATGAAGCGCGTACGGCATCAATTCCGACGCGGAATTGAAGCGCGCGAAAGAACGAAGCATATGTGCGTGTGCACGTATGGTGAAGGGCGTGTGTTGAAGTCTGCACGTTGAAGTTTGCGATCTGCTAGCGCTGCATATCGCATATCGCATAAGATGCATATGTGCATATGAAGCATATGAAGCACACGAAGCATACGAAGCATATGAAGCATATAGAGCATATGAAGCATACGAAGAAAAAAAAAGAAAAAAAAAGCGCGCAAAAGAAAAGACGCGCGCGTGCTGGGGATTGAACCGGCGACGTGGTGGACAGATAGAGAGACGGACGGACGGACTAGAGCGCGCTGTTCGCGCGAGAGGGCCGTAGCTCCGTCGCTGCGTGCGTTGCACGGCGCTTAAGGGCGTACGGCACAGCATAGCGCGTACGGCATAGCGCATACGACGCGTACGGCGTGTATGTCAAAACGTGTACACTGTGCAGTGTCATGCAGCCGCCGCTGTGCCGTCACCTGCGGGTCGGCACGTGCAGCTGCGTGCTGTGCAGTGTTACGCACCGGCGGAAGAAAATTAAGCTTGCGGAGCCTAGCACGCAAATTTAGCCGTACGCGCTATGCTATGCTACGCTATGCCGTACACGCTATGCTATGCTACGCTATGCCATACGCGCTATGCTATGCCGTACGCGCTATGCTAAGCTATGCTACACTATGCCGTACGCGCTATGCTATGCTACGCTATACCGTACGCGCTATGCTATGCCGTACGCGCTATGCTATGCTACGCTATGCCGTACGCGCTATGCTAGGCCGTACGCGCTATGCTATGCTACGCTATGCCGTACGCGCTATGCTATGCTGTACGCGCTATGCTATGCTACGCTATGCCGCATGCGCTATGCTATGAAGTACGCGCTATGCTATGCTACGCTATGAAGTACGCGCTATGCTATGCTACGCTATGCCGTACGCGCTATGCTAAGCTATGCTACACTATGCCGTACGCGCTATGCTAT